CCAGGCATTGGGAATGCCGTAAACGTCACACTAAGAAAGCGCCATTGTGGCATGCCTCTCGCTACACCAGTGCGCCGCTCCTCATAAACTGCAGAGTTCGAAGTATCCCATCGGTTAGCAATCTTCCCAGCCAAGGCTTTTAGTACACCGCGCAATATCTTCAGGCACGTTAGCTTGTTTAAGGTGCTAACAAGAGGGCCACACTCCATACTCATTCGTAGTCCAGCCACGGTCAGAACTGGTTAGTTGATTGACATGCAGAACAGGCGGGCATACCTAATGACCTCGTCGGCGCTTGCAACGTACACGACCTGGTCCCCTAAACACACACACACACATACACAAGACAGGATTTGACTCTAAAAAGGGGTCGGCGGCTCACATGCACGAGCCCCACACAGAGGTCACGTTAAAAAGGAGCCATTGCAGCCGGACCAATATTCCACCAGCTGGTCGCTCCACACAAACACACGTTCGGCTGACTACGATGTCTGGAGTCTAATACTTTTTTGGAGATCTTCCAAGTCATGAAACTCCCATGGCCATAGCGCATCTCTGACAGGCTCAGGTGCAGCGCACACAGGTAGCAGAGGTACCGAGAGGACCCAAGGAACCTATATACCACCTAGTTGAGAGGTTTCAATTACCTGTCTGATGTCGGTGCTCACGAGGAGAGGTCCGATATGGTATGACTGGTGGCGGTGTTTTATCACAGGTTTTCATGGAGATGCATGTAGCCGAATTTGCCTATATAAACAGTCTTACGTGCCTTGAAGCTGCTGGGAAGTAGTGGTTCAGAAGGTGGCCAACGGACGGAGTAAGTCAGCCATATCCAAGATTAAACATTCAAGTGCACGTACACCTTCTGAGGCTTCCAGGGTAATATCATGTAAGTTACATCCGACCCCCGCCGAATGAAGCTTGATATATGTGAAGAGTTGGATCAGATTGTGTGTGGCCTGCGCAAACAGACTTTTCGGTTTTTTTTTAAGGCGTTCAATTCGCGCTCAGCCTAGAGGCTCTGGATTCGATATTACTATCGGAACAGGAGGAGGATAACGAGGAGAAAGTCAGGTGCAGCGCAAGTCCGTTGCCCTAAAGACAAATCTACATGAAGATCGCCGGGTGTGTACGCTTTATGGGACATTTGTAAACCTCGTTACTGGCCTATGCGGAAGAACCATGCACATATCTTAAAACTAGCAAAGGTGTAAGGAATAAAAAGGGCTCTGGGACAGATGACACCCGAAACATCTCGGAATAAGTTGAAATATCGCAATTGATAATGACGGGGTCAACGTTGTAGCCACAGTTCACTTTGTATTCACTGCTGATAGAGCAGGAGAATATAAAATAAAAGAACTGTGAATGTATCTATATCTGCCACAGCTTTCTTCTTATGTCTCTGATGATGAATCCGTGACGAATGTCGAAACGTCAGGCGAATAAAAATGTTGTCCCAGCGATCAAATCGTCTTCTTCTCAAGAACTGTGAATGGTCAACTGACAGTATGGATATGCATCAAAAGGAGCGAGATTTCGTTCACAAAGAAAACAGCACGAAAAAGACCGGTAGCAGTGAGGTTCGGCGGAACCCACTTATCACGTAACAGCTCTCCTTGGACGGCTCATGGGAAAGAGACCGAGGTGGGCAGTGGACTTCCACTTTCTCTCAACAATTAATAACATCTACTATTTACCCGATTATTACTTCCCAATTTCATTAGCATTTTCCCCATGAAATAGAACACAACTCGTCACAGACAGCAAGAGAATTGGGGACAGCTGTTCCCCCAACTATGTTTCAAAGCATTAAGGAGTCTGTTGTGGACAAATTAAAGGTTAGCACAAAGGTTAATTAGACATATGGAATAACGCGAGTACGAAAACGTAGGAGTCAAACGTACCTAGTCGCCGAAGTCGAGATAAGGTTCTACCCCCCTCGGAATTAAAGCCCTCGAGGAGGTAGGTTACCTTGGAGAGTTTTGTGTCAGGATCAGTCTCGCAGGTAACACTGCTGTCATGATCTCTAACGGAATTAGCCCAGCCTACCACGGGATAAAAACCTATACAAACAGGAGAAAAAAAGACATATCATAAAGACCTGTAAGTCCACAGAAACGGCCTAAAATGGACATTAGATCGACTGAGGCTAATGAGACTACCGGAATCAGGATTACTAATCAACACTCGGGGGAAAAAGTGCATTCCGTAAGCCATTTTACAAATATAATATAAGCGCCGAAATGCATAAAACGTGATGACGGAATTCTAGGTACCATGAAAGATGGTAACTCTACCCATCTAAGTTTTTGGGTTGCGCAAAAGTATGTTTCCTCAGCGGAGTATCTTTCTGATTTATTGTACTGAAGGAAAACAGGACAGTTTTGAATATAAATCGGTGTTACTATAGCGTGGTATCTAACACCACTGTTCTGCTGAAGAGTACTTCCTTTCCTACCAAGTACCGGTCAAAAATCAGAATTTCTTCTATATTGCGGAAACGAAAACCAAATTAAATGGCAAGAAAGCAACAAATATTTCCTTAATATTGCGTAGAATTGCTACGAAGTGAGTTTTATCGCCTTTTAAAACACACCAGCACTGTTCACCAACATGCCCCTGAAGTAAACACTGTTGAACTCTAGGATATATCTTGAAAATCATAGACTTGCTGTGTCTACCCAAGTCCTCCGACTTACTGGGTATGTGCCCCTGTATTCGGATCAGGGTAATATTCCAGGTGATTGACGGTTTTGTGATCGCATCCAGCCTGATTAAATTGCTGATAAGCTGGTCATGCTTCAAAGCACTTTGCTGAACCAGTCTTTTCTTTGCGTCTAGTTATAGTGATCAACTTCGCTGCATCTCGCTTGCGTATGTAGAAATACCTTACATTGGTACCCTGAAATAAATGGATTTGGGATATCGGTAGATCTACTCTACGTAATGTTGTTTATTGTGGCCAAACTGGGAAATGCGCCTCAACCCGCATACACCAACATCAATCAGTGGTTAGAAGAGCAGACCATTTATTCCAGGTGGCCATGCACACACTAGAAACCAGGCCAAAAATTCGCATGGGAGAACACACGGATTGTTGGCACTAATCCAACTAGAAAAGGTCCTGAATTCCTGGAGGCAATGCACTCAGACGAGGCATGCATCAACAGGCATATAGATATGGACGCTATTTACAGTTATCTCTAAGCCAAAATCAACGCACGCGACCAAACACAGCCGAATGACGAAAAGCAAGTAACACCCACTAGCCTGGACTGACAATCCTGCCAATCGGAAAACACGTCACATGAATATTGATTTTCCTGAACGTTTAAAACTGTTAGTTGTTTGTTACACACTTTCTCTCGTCTGAAGACGACGAAGGGATCCTGCGTCGAAAATTCACATAACAAAGTTCAAATTTTCCCAAAGAACTCTTTATATTCATAATTTAATATCTTGGGATGTCCATATTTCAATAAAAAATACTATGGATAATCTATTCATCCAAGTACCTGGAAATGTATTATAAGCAAAAAGGTAACGTACAAAGCAGAAAAAAGTTTTTTTCAATCACAAGTAGGACTCCAATCGTCTCGTTGTATACACTTCTGGCTTACGGCATCGCGGGTTTTCGCCAGACTACTAACACTGTATGCTACTGGGCCTGCCATCTACTCAAAAGGACCATCTATTCGCTAGTATTAAACTCAGCGTCTATGTGATCCATGCATGTTGGCGGATACGGCAAAAAAGATTTTGCGATAAGGTACAAAGGGGACAGCCGCCAGACACAGGGTTTTGGTCAGAGGGGATAGTTGTTATTTCTTCAGTTAAATAGTTACATTCGAAGCCGTGAGAAGCTGCCCAAATTATTGACACTAAATTGATGGCATAACGTACCTTTTGGTGGGGGAATTGTTTTGGAACCGAGGTTGGAGTTCAGGAAGGAGCCCGTTCCCAGAGTCAGCTTTGTGTCGCCCTTGGCCAAACAACCTTCACCCAGCATGGCGGCCTGAGAGTCACCAATGAGGGCAGTCAC